CTTCCTAAAGAAGAACCCCATAATATACTAGCATGCATATCAAATATATAAAAAAACACAAAAGTGATGATTGGCTAACACAAACAAATAAACAAAGAATAATAGTCAGAGATGTTGGAAATATTATCTAACATCCTAAATCATAGCCTAACACATAATATAACAAGAATGTGTCTTAACCAGTATCTAAGTTCTAAGGGTAAGATCTCCTGGCAAGTATGACTTTGATAAGGTTGTCAACCGGCCCCGTCCTAAAGATCCAAGGGATCTAAAGTGGGTGTCCCCATGATGAATTTTGAAAAAGGACTAACCTTACATATAGCTTAGCTTGTTACAAGCATAATTTTAAAATTATGGTGAATGTAATAAGTAGAATTTTTTTTTTGTTTTAAAATAAGGATCATTAAATATGGACCCATAACATGCAATGTGACATGAGTTAAATTCATTGGATCCTTAGAACAATCGGGGGGGTTGTATGTGCAGCTTTACTTCTAAAATTTTAATTCCCTCATAATGCTGTCATGAAATTCTATCTACATATTTGCTCTTTTTCCTCCGACTTATCATTGAAGAAAAGACATTTACTTGAGGTGGGATGTGCAATTATGATCTTTAATCATGTTCTTAGACATTTGTTTTGGGGAGGGGGTGGTAGGGGAGTGGGTGCAGCTTTACTTCTAAAATTTCAATTCCCTCGTAATGCTCTCATGAAATTCTATCTACATATTTGTTCTTTTTCCTTTGACTTATCATTAAAAATTTTTGTTTGTTCTGCTTTTGTTTACATCCACCAACAACACCACACTAAATTAGATTCCAAATCTCTCAAATTTATTTTCCTCCGTTACTCCATCTAAAAATGACATAAATGCTACTCTTTAATCACTAGGAAAATATACAATTTCATTAATATCACTTTCTTTGAGAATCAATATTACTTTCATAATATATAAAATTCAGAGGGAGAATTTTATGGAATATCAAATTTGAGATCTTCTGTAAGACATTCAAACTGAATTAAAGCCTATCACTCAAACAACTAAATCAAATCTCACCACTCAACTAACTCCACTTGAATAATAAAACTCTTGTCATTGGAATTATCTTAATTGCCTCTACTCCACCTCAACTTGGCACTAATGAGTAGGAACTCCATGTCTATATCAAAAGGAAAAGGACCACTGAGCATGTAGATGACACTATGCAGATTAGACACTGTCAATAGCTTGAACCAAGTCCTCCACACCTGAAAATCAGAATGGTATAGATTTCTTATCTCATTCCGAAGGTGCACTAATCATCTAATTAAAAGATATCTAGCTTATGAAAATTTGTTATCATCTTACAGGGCTTTTGTGGCAAAACCTGATGATGTGCATGTTCTCAACTCCATTCAGCAGGCTCTAAAGGTTCCATCATGGAAACAAACTGTTGAGGAAGAATTTTGGGCTCTAAAAAGATTAACCCATGGAAACTTACAAAGTTTCCTCATGGAAAAAATCTTGTAGGATGCAAATGGATATTCACGATTAAATACAAAGGAGGTGAAAGTGTAGAGAGATTCAGTGCCAGACTGATAACAAAGGGCTTCACATAATCATATGAGATTGACTGCCGAGAAACTTTTGTGTCTGTTGTGAAGCTCATTGATGTTTGGATTCTACTCTTTCTGGTAGTAAATCAAGATTGGTCTTTACTTCAACCGAATGCCAAAAATGTCTTATTGAATGAGGACTGAGGACTTAATGAAGAAGTTTACATGACTATACCTCTGGGCTTAGAAAATATGTCAAACAAAAGGCAAGCTGGAGAAATCCTTATATGACTTGAAGCAATCTCCTTATACTTTATTTGAGAGATTTGCTAAAACTCTGATTATAAATGGGTGTCATACTTGTCAAGCTAATTATACATTGTTTGTTGAATCCAATCATAGAATCAAATCTGTAATTCTCATATTATATGTAGATGATATTATTCTGAAAGATGATTAAAAGAAAATTATCATTTTAAAAAGGATGCTTGCAACAGAATTTGAGACCAATGATCCCGAGACTCTCAAATAATTTTTAGTAATAGAGGTAGGTCAGTCTAAGAAGAGAATTGTCATATCCCAAATAAATCAGCTTAGATCAGGTAAATGAAATTGGTTTGTTTGGGTGTAAACCGACATACACACCCATGGATCCCAATAAAAGGCTAAACAAAAGTGAAACAAATAGTCCTATTGATAAAGGAAGCTATCAAAGACTTGCGGGAAAGCTGATCTATCTCACACACAAGAGCTAATAATGTACTTTGTTAGTGTGGTAAGCCAACACATGAATAATCCAAGTGAGAATCATTCGAAAGCAGGGAACATAATTTTGAGATATTTGAAGATGACTCCTGGATATAATTTACTCTTCAAAAAATTTGAAAATGTGATATTAAAATATACACATATGTTAGTTGGTAGGAGAGGTAACTGATATGAAATTAACCACTGGGTACTTGGGGTGTAAACAAGTCAGGATTGAGCCACCCTCGGCTTGGGCTTGGGCTTGAGCTTGATTAATTTTATCGAGAACTCGAGCTTAAGGCCTCAAGTTCAAGACGACTCACAAGGCAGCTTATTTTTTATTAAAAAAAGAAAATTCTATTAAATAAAAGTAGTGTTATAATAAAATGATAAATACAATAAACATTTAAAAGTGAAATAATAAGAAATCAGTTGATATAAAACACAAAATATTATTTTTTAAATATTTTTAAAACTTTAAAGAAAGAGTCTTCAAATTTAGCATATTTTGAGTTATTTTTTATTAATATTCTTTTTAAATGAGCTTGCTCATAAGCAAATGAGTCAAGTCGGGGCTTTGAACTTGGCTTGTTAGCTTATCGAGCTCAGTTCATGAGCCACTTATCAAGTCGATCTCAATCAGGCTCACGAGTCATCTTAACTCACTTGCACCCCTTTTGGGTACTATTCATACATCTGGGAAAATCTCGTCACTTTGAAAAGCAAGAAAAATTTTGTTATCTCTTGTAGCACAAAATCTAAATATCGTTCTCTTACATTAGGAACATATAAAGGAATTTAACTTCAAAGGCTATTATGGGAACCTAAGGTTGAGACTATGGACAAAATTAAGATGTTCAATTATAGTTAAGCGACTATTAGTATAGCTAAAAATCTTAAGAATCATGACAAAATAAAAGTATATATAGCAAAATTATCAACATAAATCTCGAGGTGATATAGAAGGGAAAAGACAAAAGTCAACAATATGACGGGAAGCTACTGGAACTAATGAAGCCGATCGGTTGGAGATTGTAAGCCTATCGAAGAATGACCGATCATTAAAAGCCTATCCTAATGTCGAAGTACCATCGAAGTCAAAAGGTATCTGTACTGATCGCCTCAAGGATGACTAGCTGCCACTCTCAGAGCCGCTCACTTTCCCGAAGCGAAGGTCAATCGACATTTATAAAAAAATAGCTGACTCAAACAATTAAGCCTACCGATCCAAAGACATGTCGATTAGAAGGTTTAGACTTACGAAGGGAGTCAATATCAGTTACTGAGACGAAAACATGTTAATCTCAGTTATGGATGTGAAAGGTTATTAATATAAGTTATAGATATAGAAATGTGCTAGTATCAATTATAATTACCAAAAGGTGCCAAAAGGGGTAATATTGACATGTAATGCCACTAATCAAGTAAAGGCAAATTAATAAGAATAACGACCTGTAATTTTCTTATTAAAGTGAGGGTAAACATTTTATCAAGGGTCATTTATGATTATAAAGAGAGATTATTTATGAGTAAGGGGATTGACCTTGTTTCTCTATACTCTCTCTCTCTCTCTCTCTCTCTCTATATATATATATATATATATATTACATCTATATATGTATATGCATATATATTTATGTATATCTGTTTGATTCTATGGTCTGTTGGTAGAGCGACCTCTCTGAAGGTCGTAAGTCTCCTCAGATTGCGGGTTTGAATCCCCCCATGTGTAAGGTGTGGTACTATAATATTTAGCACACCTAAGGATGGTCGGAGCTCGTCTAATAGCCTCGGGTCATTCCTTCACAGACACACACACACACACAGACACACACACAGATATATATCACAAACAATATATATACCAACATACATACATACATATATACATGTATATATTGTTGAATACTAATTTGTCTGTGAGTCACATCTAAGGAATCAAATGTGAGACAGTAGAGAGAGGGAGCGAGACAAAAGGGAATTGCACAGTAATGAACATTAATTTGAATTCTTAATGAGCTTATTCTCATGAAATGATTCCCCTATTTTTAAATGAGGGGGAAAGGGGCACAACATGTGTAATTACATGTCTGCCCTTGTTTTAATAGGGGCATTAAAGGGTATTTCAGATATTTTACAAATATACACCGACGATTTGATAATGTTGCTCAGTTGGTTGCGCTAGGTCGATTTTTTGGGTTTGAGTTGGTAAGATTTGGCTCGGTTGGCTTGGCGTTGTCGGCTGACCGTCCTACTTCGACGCCCAGTCAGTTGTTTAAGTCGTTAACTTCAGATCCCTGGATAAGGAGCTTCGGTTTGTAGGATATGGCTAGGTCATTAGGCAGAAGAACAATCACCATAATCTGATAAGTAGCTCATACCCCAACGAGGGGTTCATTCAAGATGTTCATAGATCTGATCATTGTCGATCCTTGGACCTAAGAGGATTTAGAAAGGCGCACGAGATCGTTGAGGATGATGAGTTTGTTCTTTAGATGGGATTGTGGCAAGAGATAAGTCGTTGCCCCTATTCGATTTGCTTGGCTTCGGCCTTTGATTCGGTTGGTTGATATCGGTTCAACCTTTTCGTTTGCTAAGAACCGACTTGGCCGCGACAAACGTGCTTTTTTCAGATTGGCATTGACGGCGGTCCCACCCACCCCCAAGTAGCCCCAAGTAGCCTCCGTGTAGCCTCAACGCCACATAGACGACCACAGCTCCACCAAATGCAGGTTTAAAAGTCCCCCAAAACCCGGCTCCCTGAGGTTTAATACGCGGGAATCAATTTCACTGGCTGCTCTCCACTCCCCTGTGCAGACCGCTAACTTCTAGAGGAATTCCTCCTCCTCTCTTTCGCCGGGTTCTACGGTTCAGAACAGCAGGAACCACGCCTAATTATAGTGCGAGAAAGGAAATAGGGCAAAGCGGATTTGTCGGATAACACGAGGAGATCAAGTAATTCTCCAATCATCAATAAATTACGACCGCTCAATGATTTTTTTCCTTTTTCCTATTTTCGATTTCCTCCTCTGATTTATAATGCCTTTGTATGATAAGGATTAAGGAGGACTGCACCATTGAGGTATTGCAGGGGAAAATAATGGAGCCGAAGCATATGGTGATGTCGGCGTTGGGTTTAGGAATTGGGGTTGGGGTCGGTGTGGGCTTGCGGCTTGCAGCCAGCCCGACGGTCGGGAAATGGGTGGCGCCAGTGCAGGTGGGTAGCTTGACGGCGGAGATGATCGGAGAGGAACTGATGAGGCTCGTGGTGGACGGAAGAGAAAGCAAAGTGACCTTCAATGAGTTCCCTTATTATCTCAGGTAAGTGAATGGGGATCAATGTTTCATTTAATTATTAGGTTTCGTTACGGCATATCGATTTCGTCTCATTTGCTCCGATCGATTGATTTGGGGTAAGATTTATAAGATCACGATTATAAGATGACTTTCGATTTAGAGGTGAATATTCGAGGTTTTCAGCAGATTGATCCGAGAATCATATCCTAAAATTCTGTTTGTAGGCTATTACTCGGATTGGGTGGTGCATAAATCTAGGTTGTGATGATACATTAAAAATTGAATGTTCTTTTTCAAATTTTTCGAATCAATGAATAATTGTTTTATACTTTCGATTACGCGGACCCCTTCTCCTTTCCTTTGCTGCGCTGCCCCGACTTCTACTTCTCACGAGCATTTTTACATACATACCACACAATTTTTATGTATTTTCATATTTGAAACCCAAGTTCTCATTTTTCATTATCAAGCTTTTGGCTTTAGATATATAAATACATAAAAATTGTGTGATATGTATGTAAATTTCTCTTTACAATTTTTTTCGTTGCTGATATATTTCTTTAATCTATTTTATAATGTATTATTATTATTATTATTATAGGCATTTACGTATATATAGCACACAATTCTTATGTATTTACATATCACGTATCAAAACTTTCATATTTACACACATAACACTTAAATTTTTAATCACTTTAAAAGTAGTACGAGTATCATTTTTTCAAGTTAAATCTTTTCATACATAAATTTAAAACGTAAAAAATTATTAAAATATCAAAATGTTATGTATGTAAATATGAAGATTTAGGTGTGAGATATGTAAATACATTCGAGTTGTGTGCATTATACATGTAACTATTATTATTATTATTATTATTATGACTTAAAAGTATATGAGTTGCGTAACGTTACTGAGAATTGAGCATGTGCTTGTGGACCTGCCTCATTTATTATGCTATATAACCTAGGGAAATTTATCTCCAGAAAGATTCCTTTTAAAACATAACGTGAAAATTTTAAAAGCTCAAGGCTCTAGGCCTGGTGGTCGGGACCGTAACTTGGACGGAAGTGGTGTTAAGTTGAGCGCATTAACAACTAATCTCTAATAGCTACAATTTAATTTGTATTTAACTTCTAACAATTACGATTTAATTCATTCAATGTGTCAAAAAGAGCTTTTATAAGTCCTAATCAAATTTCTATTATTGTATCCTTGATGACTTGATCCACTTTATAGAAAAAAAAATATATATTTGTAATTTGTCGAATCTTTTTAGGATGTAGTGTCCCGTACTCTTCATAAGTTCATACAACCAGGTAAAGATCTTGTATTTTAGAGAAAGGTGTTAAGAAAGGTGATAGAGAGATCCTTGGTCCCTTGCAGCGAGAGAGAGAGAGAGAGAGAGAGAGAGAGAGCCTTTTTGTGGTCCCTAAAAGAGGAAAAGAATCCCCTCATGAGCCCTTCTCTCTTCCTTATATACCTGAGAGAGAAAAAAATACAAATTACACATTGTACATTACATCGTTTGTCCACGGTGTTTTAGTGAAAGATTAAGATGCAAGTGTCTGGTGGCATCAAAAGTAAAGATTGTCATATGTAATAGTGTGTAATGATGATCTCCCCTAGTGGTTTAGGTTGATTTGAACATATTAGCAGGTTGGCTCAGTTCGTCCATTTCAATAGGTTGACGCAATTCAACCACATTAGTAGGTGAGCTCAGTTCAGTCACTTTAGCATGTGATTGTAGTTCGAGAATATAATTGGATCTCCAGACACAGACATCTTAGGCCCTTAAGTCTCTTTATGAAGTATCCCTGAAGAGTTCTATATCAAAATTTGTTCGATATATTTGTGCCCAACTATTTTAGATGTTGACATATAATGTATACAAATGAACAAATTAAAGTTAACTTTTTACAATTATTTAAAATATAGAGACTCAAAATAGAATGGTAAAATTCATAAAAATTTTGAATGGATCCTAATGAAAAATATATCAAGTTATCTTTATAACTTTATTCTTCTAATTATAAGTTGTTGGGAGCAAAAGTTATGGCCTAGATTTTTTAAGTTATTCTCCAAGACTGAGCAATTCTCTTTACCTTATACTTGATTCAATCTGAGTCAAAATATGGGGCTGTTTATTTCACTAACTTAAGGATTATTTTGTAACTAAAATTAATTAAATATTTTTTTTATAGTAATGCAAACTAATAAATGATTATTTTATTAGAGTAATTTGTAGATTTTTTGATGAAATGTTGTAGTATTAAATATCCAAATAAAATATTATTTGATTCATACATTTAAACTTGATGTGTTCCAAAAGATTCGTAGCAGCAGAGTGATTATATGACATCTTAGTGTTGCACGAAAACTTAGCATGCACTAAGGTAAGTAAAGTAACAGGTAGAGACACCATAAGTTTTTATGTGAAAAATTCTGGAAAGGGGAAAAAATCATGTGGCCTAGCATAGTTGAAATAATCTACTATGCACAGACCTACTCTTACTCTGAGTTAGATGAAATTAGAAAGTTGATGTACAATAATATTTCAGCAATAATAGTTGTAACATACTGAGAAGGTCATAGTTGATTGCAATAGAGAAAGTAGTTCGTCGTGAATGTTGTGGACTGTGGTTCTACCTCTAGCACTGTGGTTATAGTGTCAGCTCGTCGTAGAGGTCGCAGTTAAAGTTCATGATAGTAGTTGGTCATATGGGTTGTTTATGGTTACTTTAGGAGTGTCGGTCGTAGTTGGTCCCATAGGACATAGCAGAGAACTGTAATAATGCCCGTAGGCCGTAAATGCTAAATTTAAGAGTTGCATGAACTATGATAATGTTTGTAGGGCACATAGTCCGGAGTTGGGAGCTGCATGAGCTGTGGACCACATAGGTCGTAATTAGTCACATAATTCATAGTGGCGAATTGTGATAATATCCGTAGCCCACAAAGGTGTGAGTTGACAGCTGCATGGGTTGTAATAACATTTGTAGGTCATAGAGGCCTGAGTTAAGAGCTGCCTGAGTTGTGACAACATCTCTAGGCCGTCGAGTCTGAATTTGGGAACTGCGTGAGTTGTGGACAACTTAGGTTGTAGTTGGTAATATAGGTGTAAGCCATATTTGGTCACGTATGTCGTAGAAGTGAGTTATGATAACATCCGTAGACCGCATAAGCCGAATTTTGGAGCTGCATGAGCTGTGATAATGTCTGTAGCCTGCAGAGGCAAGAATTGGAGCTATATGAGTTGTGGACCACGCAGGTTGTTGTGGTGGGTTGTAAGAAGAGAGCTTCAGAAGTCTAGAGAAAGTCATGGTATCCTGAGTACAACTCTTGTAAGTAGTTATTGCAAGATGTGTTATTAGACCATCTTCGTGAGTCGTCATTGCATACCATGCGGGATGCGTTGTTGCACCGTATTTAGAGTGTGTTGTTACACCATATGCGGGGTGCGTCGTTACACCATTTTTGGGATGCGTTGCTACATTGTATGCGGCGTGCACATTGCACCACCTTTGAAGCGTTGTTATTTCGTCTTCTGAGTGCATTGCTCCGTATGATGTTTAGTTACTTCGCAAGGCCCATCGTTACTCCACATGGTGCTTTGTTAATTTGCGCATACGTCATGAATCCATAAGAGGCTTCGTTGCATCGAGCAATAACAGCTGACAGTGGTCAACCGTGGCTGGGGAGTGGTGGTTGACAGTAGTCAACGACTGCGGGATTGGTGGTCATCGGTAGTCGGCGGCTGCAAAAGTGGATGACATTTACTGGATCTTTACTGTGTAGAACAAAAGACCTCAGCTCTTTCAAACTCTTATCTTCCACTGGTTTACAGTCTAGGTCTCCTTTCATAAAGGGGGTAAAATTTTACTTATGGAGCCACAAAGAGTTTTTCTTATAAATAAGAAAGAAATTTAGACTACTCTATGGAACAAACCAGAGAGATTCCCTCGATCAGACATTGTTTATGGATATTTTAGCGTTTTAACGATGCCAAAATTGCATGATATTTGACTCGTTATATTTGTTTCATCAAGATACTCAATTTGACTATAAGCTGATCAGATTTGAAATTCATTTGTCCTTCCAACTAGGCACCGAAAGCTTCCAAAAGTGGTTAAATGACATGATTCGGGCTTTATATGACTTGGATTGGACCAATTTTGGTGTCATTGTGTTTGATTCGTCAAACCGGTCAATTTGATTGTAATTCTGTTGAAATTGAAGTTCTAGATGATTTTATTTGGATTTTAATGTTTCTTACTGAAAAAATGCTCTACGATGCGTGTCAATCGCCTCGAGATTCATTCCAAATAATAAATTTGTTTACAACGAATAAAAAATGATGCACAATATTTAATAGTTGCTTATTTTTCTTATCAATCTAATCGTTTCCTGCCAAGTACATCTTAGCTACAAATAAGTTGATCTAAATATACTGGTAATCATACAATTAATTAGTTTGAATAAACTGGATGCAGGCATCTTGCGATGAGTTGAAATACAAAAAATTAAAGAACATCTTCATGTGCATGAATCATCTTGCCTATGTTTACGGGTTTAAACAAGTTGAGTCAAATTTGGGTCTCCCATGACTTGAGTTTGAGTTTGAGCATGATAATTAATCAAGTTCAAGCTCGAGCTTATGCCTACAAGTTTGAGCCTGCTTGTTTATTATAAAAGAAAAAAAAATTAATTTAATTTAATGTTATAATAAAATGACATGTAATGAGTAATTATGAAAGAAATAATAAGAAATTATTTGATATAAAATATCGAATATAAATTTTTTTAAGAAAAAAAAATTTAAAGATAGCCTTGAAATTGAAAATATTTTGAGTATATTTTACATTAATTATTTTTAACGAGTCGGTTCACGCGCTAACGAGCTAAGTTGGGGCTGACTTGAGCTTGGCTTATTAGCCCATCGAGCTCAACTCACGAGCCACTTATTGAGCCTAGCCGAGCTTGCTCATGAGCATGCTTGACCAACTTACACTCCTACCCAGCTTCATCATGCTCACAACATCCATTGGAGCCCACATGAGTAGGGGCAATTGTTCCTACGTAACATGTTTCTGCAGTGCACAATCCAATGGAAGAATAAGGGGCCTGCCCCTAGTAAGAAATTTTTTTTCTTATGCATAGTTTGGTAGTTTCATCTTTATACTTTCTTATAATTTTATATATTCCGAAAGTTTTTCCTACCTAAATTCGAATAAATTATCTCCTCTTAATTTGTTTTTTATTACATGGCATTGTGCAATTTACAAATTTAGATAGGTTTCTTTCTGAAATGTCAATTAAATTAAAACATTCTTTAGAGCGATACAACTAGAACACTAACGGAAGCCAAGGTTTTCGTTCCAAAAGGCCTTTTGCAACTGCTATGTAATGCTGCTTTCACTTTGTTTACTGCAGTTGAATTATGAAAGTTTTTGTCACCACCTATTATTAGTTTATGCGCAATTATGTAATTATATTTCGCTTCCTATTATTAGTTTATGCGCAAATATGTAATTATAATTCGTTAAAATTTCTTGTTGGTGATATTTTGCAACGCTGAAAAGTTTTGTTTCATTTTACTTTTTAGTTTTTTGGGTTTTTTGAACAAAAAATGGTATACTCACTGTTAATTATTTTATAGGAGATAATAGTGGTTCAATGTCGACTTTTTGTTTGCTACCATTGGGCTTCCAAGTTTATTTGTAATTTGAATGTTGAAATTTGTTATGAATATTTGCAAAAGGTGTTACAATTATTAGAATTATTCATTGCATATAAATATTAGAACATTTTTCTAATATTTATGGTGGGAATTTATAGTCATTACTATTGTAATAAATATTCATTATTTAGTATATTTTTATTTGTTGTATTTTCCTTCATTAAATACATCTATTACCAATATATTGGCATTTTTTTTAACATATTATTCAAATTTAGGGTTATAAAAGAAAGTGCCCTTAACCTAAGGGCAAGTATACTAAATTGCATGTTTCAATTGAGAGAAACCTACGCTGACACAAATCCTATAGAAATCAAATAATCTATTAGTTTCAAAAGGAATACATGAAGAATTATGCTTCATATAAAATTTAAAATATGAATATAAATATCACTTCATTTAGTTGAGGGAAAAAAAAAATACAATATTGAACATCTTCTACCAAGATGAGGCCAAACTTCTTTCTTAAGAAGGTGAAAAGATCCATTCAGTTTCAAACACTTAAAAATTTATTTCCTTGTTGCTCATAATGTGAAGAATTATGCTTCATATAAAATTTAAAATATGAATATAAATATCACTTCATTTAGTTGAGGGAAAAAAAAAATACAATATTGAACATCTTCTACCAAGATGAGGCCAAACTTCTTTCTTAAGAAGGTGAAAAGATCCTTTCAGTTTCAAACACTTAAAAATTTATTTCCTTGCTGCTCATAATGTTGGCAATTTCTTTACAGTGGCTTGTCCATATAATTGGACTTACATATGAAATATATAACAGATGTAAGTATAATTTACATTTAATTTTCTAGATCTATTTAATTCAGTCAAATATCAACATGTGAAATGGTATAAATTCAGATTTGAAATTATTTAAAAACTTTTTAGTTTTGTTGTGATGTTGAATCTTCCAATTCATCTATTCTTGTTCATAACAGTGAGCAAACACGAGTACTGTTGACAAGTGTAGCCTTTGTTCACTTGAAGCAATTTGAGTTTTCTAAGTACACACGAAATCTTTCTCCTGCAAGTCGAGCCATTTTACTCTCAGGACCCACAGGTAATTTACGTTGAAAAATATATTTCAGTAATTTTCTTCTTTATTGTTAATTTTTTTTGAATGTTTGGCACTAATTTTTGAAAAACTCCTTTTGCGAAGAACTCTATCAGCAGATGCTCGCAAAAGCTTTAGCTCATTATTTCGAGTCCAAGTTGCTATTGCTAGATGTATCAGATTTTGCATTGAAGGCAAGTGGATGTTGTATTCTTTCTTGCATATTGATCATATAGCTAATTTTGTTTGTATTGTTGTTATCAGATCCAAAGCAAATACGGGTTTCGAAGCAAAGATTTCGTAAGTTTTCAGTGACTCGTACATATTGTTTTTGCCAATCCTATATGATGCACTCTTAACTAAAGGCCTTATTTGCATTAACAAGACAATTAATTCATGTTATATGTTATATGTCTTACTATATATGTTAGCAATATTCTGCTTAGGCATCTGTAAACATAGCTATTTAATTAATATGCATTATCTTATGATAAAAAAATCAGAACTAAAATACGTTTCTTTTTTTTTTTCAAGAACTTGTTTCTTGCCTCCTCAATTTTAATTTCATAACTGCCTTTTGTGTTGAAATAACAGGCTTTTAAAAGGTCCATTTCCGAGTCAGCATTTGAACGTGTAACCAACATATTTGGATCATTTTCTATTCTTCCTCAGGAGGAACCAAAAGGTGCATATTTAGGCCCATTTTAATCCATTTTTTATGTTCTTTACTTTTATGATATTTTTCTATTGAGACCTTGGCATGTCTTTACAAGTTAAGTTGTCTCATTCTTCATCTATCTTGCTAAACCAAGTAAATGTATGATTTATGCAATTAATATGGGAAAAACATCAACATTCTGATTTGTATATTTTTAGGAATCTGTATCATTTGTAGAAGTGGCTGGTAGTTTAGAGGTTTTTTAGGAATCTGTATCATTTGTAGAAGTGGCTGGGAGTTTAGAGGGTAGAGGTTTTATCCATAAAGTCATCCGCATAAAGCCTTTTAGGCTCATTGATCGAAAGATTTGGCAATCTCTCTAACCTTCATGTGGGTCTCTGTGTGAATAATTTCTTTGGATTTATTTCCAATGTCTTTGATAGTCTCATCAATCTGGAGTCATTGTTTTCCCAGAAGAATGGCTTCAATGGTGCATTGCCTACTTCTTTTTCCAACTGGATAAATCTTAGAGTTATTAATCTTAGAAACAAATCATTGAGTGGGGAGATAAATATGAACTGCGCTGCTATGAATAATTTAAACCCTAACTTATTAAGGCATAGCAGCAATCAATGAGAAGGAGCTATGTATAGAAAACCAAAGCCAAGAATGGTGGATGATGAACAATCAATGAGAAGGAGCTATGTATAGAAAATCAAAAACAACAACCCCATGCACACTCAATAAAATAATCGAATTAAAAAGCTAACATATTAAAATACCAAATCCAATCATCTTCATAGGTTTTATCTTTCTGCACCTATCCTACCGAATGATTGTTTGATGCCTTGTTTGGCATTTTTATATTTTTGCTTCTTGATTCCAACATTTTTATTGGATGTGCTTGGTGTTTTTTGTCATTGATTTTCTATACATAGCTCCTACTTGTTGGTTGTTTATCATCAACCACAGTTGGATTTGATGTAGAACAAAATTTATTCTTAATGTGAGCCAAAGTGCTTAAATTGAGTGGTGTGGTTGTCTGAAATTCGTATTTAGATGCATCAATTTGGTGTTTTATAAAGAAACATGCACCAACTTTCAGCTTAGTACATAGAGTATCTCAACTTGGCTCTAAAATATGATCCCTATTAAGATATTTGAAAACAAATATATGTTGATATATGAAATTTGCATCATCTTCGTTCCTGCTGTTGTAAG